GACTCTTGGTGTTGTTGTAGTTGTGTTTCTAATATGTCTCTGCCCATGTTATTGTGTTTCTCTTACAGGCCAAGTTGGCTTTCTCAATATTTCATCTGCAGCTTTTGTAATATGTTTGCTGTATTTTAACTCCTGTCTAAACCCTATGATCTATGCCTTTTTTTATCCCTGGTTTAGAAAATCCATTAAGCTCATTGTTACATTGAAGATACTGCAGACCGACTCCTGTGAGGCCAACATACTGTAGAGAGACTCTGGGTGAGGCCTGAAATTAGACCTTCAGCATGAACAGAACAATGTACTTGGTCATGATAATTCCCCTTTTGTTTAATTCAACAGTAAAGGTACTTGGGTTTTGTTCATTTGCATGTAGTTTTGGCAAATCACCACCTATAGGGCAATTAACAGTAACCTCAGAACCACAAGAAATACTAAAAATAACTGTATCATCATCATTAATTTGTAGCATACCAGCCAATTAAACAGAATCTTAGACTTATATATATATATATATATATATATATAGGAATTGTTTGTCAGCTTCATACATTTTTGCACACAAGTTAAAAGGTCTAGTGTGTAACATTTAGAAGGATATATTGTCACAAATTGACAATGCCAATAAATCCTACACACTGGACCTTTTAACTAAGTAATTCCATAAAAAACTCCTAAATCCTGACGAACATACATATCACTCTCAGACCAAAACACAAATAATGTGAGCACAATGACGATGACAATTTGCCAATTTGTATTTACATTTATGTTGTACAGTTGGTCGGATAATGCATTGGTGATGCTTTTCACAGAAAGGTCAAAGTGACCTCAAAATTACCTTACCAAAAGGTCTAAGGTCATCTCTACTCTAAAATCATAATGTCCTGGAAAAATACTTTTTTGTTATTTATTGTTATTCAACAACATAACCTTGGAATAGAAGGAGAGATTGTAGTGTTATTTCACAGTTAGTGAGAAGGAGCAAGGAGTGAGAAATCAGTAAACAGCAAGGGAAAAATACAGCAGATTTTTCCCTTGCTGTTTACTTATTTTACTAACTACCACAGCTAATTGTTAGTCTCATGAGTATAATTCCTGTATGTTATTTAAGTTGTAATCTCAACTTAACTTTTTTTTTTACATCTTTATGTTTATGTGAAGGTGGGTGTGGTTTACACTCAGCTGCAGGAGAGAGAGAGGTGTGGGGAAGGCTTGTGAGAGCAGCGTGAGGTGAGTTGATTATCTCAGCTGGTACTCATTGAGTAACAATTCTCTCCTCTCTTAATGCAGTAGTATACTGGACCTGAGTTGGCCGCCACACACAAACCAAACAGGATGTCTGGTGTGAACTGTCACAGATTCTGGAAGAGGGCTAGAGAAGCCTCAGAAGAGTTGTAAAGCTCAGTGTTTTTTATTGACGGTGTGTGCGGCTGAGGGCCAATAAATGTTGATGAATTGACCTGTGGTGCTGTATTGTGTGTTGAAGGAACCCATGCACTGTAAAACCCGATGAGTTAGTTCAACTTAAACCATGTAAGGAAACCTATTGCCTTAAACCATTTAGTTTATTAACTCAAACAATTTAAGTATACATTTTTTTTATTTGAGTACTGTTAACGCAAGTACTGTTAAATTAACTTGGGTAAAGTTTGTTGTACTAATTCAATTCAGTTAATTGGACTCAAAACTAGTAAGTATGTTACACTTATATGCAGCATTTATCTAAACTTGTTTAAAATGTGGTAACAGAATTCATCTGAATAAAGTAAGAACAACTTCAATTAATCTTCTTTATACAAATGTTTCTACTTAAAATGAATTTACTGTTTCTTCTGCTAAATCAAATTATTACATTCTAGTTCTGACAACTTCAAACTTTGTTGTGGCTACTCACTTCATTTGAGGAAACCGATTGCCTTAAACCACTTAAGTTGTATTAACTCATTATAGACAAACACACATCTGACAATACTTAATTTATTTAGTTGAATGCTCTCAACTGAATACACATTTCAATGTTTACAACTCTAAGAAGAAACTGTAATAATCTACACTTACTTTTGTATTTCTTTAACCTTAATTCCCTCCCCCCAGCAAATCCACTACTGATCTAAGTCACTCAAATCATCAACAAATCAAACTTTTTCCATCCATTTTACTCATCAGCTTCCTTTGTAAATATTTTGGATACTAAGGATTATGATCTGTGGCCTCTTTCACACTACAATAAAATAATTCTGCATAGTCCATTGTATTCTAAAGTTACCTGCTGGTTTAAGGTCCAAAAAAAGTCTACCAAATTTCCCATACACGTGCAATTTGTGTGGTACCTTACATAAACTGTCATGTACATTTTAATAGCTGATTTAATTGCTGACTTAACTATAATAATGATGCCAGCGATACTAGAAAGCCCTCCTGGAGCAGATACACATGTAGCTGCTTGCGGAAGAGGGGAACAATTTGGGGAAGGAGGCAATGCAAAACTAATAAAGCATATTGTTGAGCTTGCTGTGGCCTTGAAGATTGATATTATGCTCTATTATTATTACACTGCCTCTTCCCCAAACTGTTCTGCACTCCTGCAAGCAGCCAGTTCTTGTATTCATACCCAACAGTTAAGGCACATCTATTTACTGTAATTACCTGATTTAGAACACTTTGTTCAATTTGTGCACCCTTGAGTAACAGTGTCCATAATGTTACACACTGAAGCTGGTGAATTAAATGTCATACACATTTATGTGTACAATGAAACATGTTTTTTCCATGTGGTAATGCAGAAAGTGTGAATAACTCACATAATGCACAAACATATTGTAGAAAAAACTACGCAATCAAACTAAATAGAATAGAACTAGAATCAACAAGTCTTGTATCCTTGTTCAGTGATTTGCACATTATATATTAAAACACACAAAAATCCAAATTGAAAAGAACTGAGGGGTCATTAGTTCAATGTACACAAATTATTATCAGCAGTAAAATGCCCGAAGTTTCTCACTTGTTTAACTATGTTAGGCTCGCAAGCCAAAACAAAACATGCTGACCTTGAACAACAAAACCTGTTTGTCAATTTACTCCAGCTCATTTCTCAAGGCCTGTAACTTAGGTGTGAGCTGCTTTCTCCCATCATCAAGATTCAGGAAGACAACCTGGATGAACTCAAAGAAGCCACTGAGTTTCTCAGGGTAGCTCAAATGGAGAGCATAGATCAGTCCACACAAAATGACAAGTGAATCTGTCCAAGATCTGTGAGCCATTGCAACCTGATTCTCGAGGACGATAGACACATGGTGAGTTTCAAAGGGAACTCCTGCAGAAACCTTATCTTCATTTACCACTGCCACCAGAGCCACTGCCCCCTCTTGGGTTGCTTCCAACTCATCCTGAAAAGGGAACACATGTTCAGTGTTTTGAGTGTATTTGGACAAATCATTAAACTTATAAAAAGACTAATGAAAACATTATGTCATCATCACTGTTTAATGCAATAGTCAAGTAGAAGCAATATCAATAAAGGTAAATATGTTCCATGTATTAGTTCTGTGGTTGTGTTCTGTAGTTCTTAATTCTATTATTATGTGGTGTTACACTGTACTAACATCCTATACCAAACTGAGAATACAAGATTATTTAGGAAGATCATCGCCCTTAATTTCTCCTTCCATATAATGAGGAGAGAGTTCGAGTCCGGGTCTTCACTTGTTACTAATGTTTTGACAAAATATCTGATAAAGATCAGTTTACAGACGTGTATCTTGTTTTTACTGCTTCAAGACATAATGAAAGCCATTCCAATCACGTAAAACCCCTTTGATATTTATGAGGATCTGGATTTACAGAAGCTTCCTGAGTCTACAAGAGCACAAACAAATCTCTTTAAAACCAGTATGGAGAGGAGGAATGATTACACCAACAACTCTTTACTTGGATATACAGACATGCGAGCACTGCATTAAGATAAACTTGAAAACATTCAGAATCTTACCTGAATCTTTGTAGTACTAACAGTAAAAAATGTTAAAAAGAAACAACAGACAAACAGCAGAAGGCAGTTTATAATTTCATGATCATCAGTGATTTCTCTTTGAAAAGTATATGAAGGTATTGAGTTACGGATATGGGAAAAGGAGAATACAAAAATACCTTGCAAGTTTTGAAGACCTCTGATGAATCCTCGTTTAAATACAGTTGCAGGCCGGCCAGGGCTGCTGTTCTAGCCGGAGTGATGTTTTTGTCCTGTTCCACAAACAAAAAAATATGCCCCGGGGGGTGTTAAGGTCTGCTCCTCACATTCAACAGCAATGTAATGCATTGAAAAAATATTCTTACCTATATGCCATCAAAACATCTTCCATCTTCTCGCCAAAACTTCCAGTCTTCCTCTTCTTGTACAGTTCTAGCAGCTATGGGGTATATTTGTATACCCCTCAGCAAGTACAGCATAGAAGGAAAATGGTAGGTTTTGATTGGTGATTCTGTGAAATTCACCATACAGCTGCATGGAAAACAAAGCACGGGACATTTTCAGACAACTAGTCATACCATAATAAAACTCTTTCCAGATAAAGCATTGCTACAATGATGACTTTGACAATGTGTGCGTGTTACCATCATTTCAAGTGTCCTTTTCAAGATTGTACTCACTTGAGCTTCACAAAAGAGTGCAGGCCATCTCTCTTTTAGTTCGGCAATGGGAGGAGCTGAATTCACAATTTTCTTCACGCCTGAGTGCAAAGGTGCACTGCATATGTCCCTTTCCATCGATGTCTTCTTGAACTGCTCCACCATCTCAATCCTCTGGGTTTCCAATGTTTCCTTAGTTTCTCCATGGGGATAATTGGGAAGGAAGTTCACTTCCCCTCTTTTGGGTCTTTGGGGATTTTGGTCTTTGCTCCTGCACCCTCTGGATTGGTTTTGCTGCGCTTTCCTGCATTCACAGCTACATCCTTTATGCCAGCCCTGCTCAGTTTGGTCCTGTAGTTGCCCATCTTGAAGCGCAGTCTGTTCTTCCAACCCTCATACCCAGTTTTAGATCCGTTTTCATTCAGGCAGGGGTGTTTGCTCACCAGAGCCTCAGCTTTGCTAATCTGTTTGGTGCTAGGATAAGCTTTATGGTATATATGTCACCAGCCATCGCATCTAGTATGTTGTGTTTTTGATCCCTGGTCAACCCGACAGTTTTTCCCTCTTTCACAAATGCAGAGTTGCCCTCTCTTAGAGCATACTCCACCTCGTAGGAGAATGTTGGAACAACAAAAGTCTCTGGCCATCGGCAAAGACGCACTGGTGAATCAGTGTTATCAGACTGTCAGGATTCAGAAGGGAACC